GGGGATAAGAGCTCAGGTTCTCATGGTTGTACAGTAAGGACTTTCCTGGCTGAGACATATTCTACCAGCCCTCTCAATTACATTTTTGTTGTTATAAAATATACAGAGATTGTTACCATTCTAGCTCTTTCAAAGCTAGTGTTATAAAGCATCTTCACAAACTCTGGGCAAAACACTTCACAATTCAATTCTAGTATGTTCTCATCTTAAACATAAAGCTGATGGTCACTAAACAACTACTCATTCTCCCCCACCTCTAGTAGCCACTATTCTACCTTATAGATCTGTGAATGTGATATTCTTACTGCCTCACGGTATTCTACAGAACCACTGGCCATCCTATACCTGGCTTATTTACTGAAAATGTCCCTGAGGTTCATCCATGTTACAACACATCTTACTTCATTCCTTATCAACACTGAATACTGTGTATTTTGTTTGTCCATTCATGTGTTGGCAAACATGCCCAGCTGTGCCAACTTCTTGACTATTCTCTTTTTAATCAGCAGAGGGGTAAAGGGTTTCTGAGGAGATACTGAAAGTGAAGGTTAATGGTTTGTTGAGAAGATCACTCAGGTTCAATTTAACAACTCACCCGACAACTCAGTGATGGGAAACAGCAAGCATATTAGTTAGTACTTCATAGTGTCTTTTTGCACAGGAACCTAGGATAAGATGCTTCAGGGATGATCCCCTATCTCTGTTCCACCATGTCTAAGAGCTAAGCTGGAAGATGCAAAGGCTAGACTGGCAGAGAGAAGGGCACCCTCAAACGTGGCTCAAAGTACTGCTTGCATGGCCCTAGAACTCTGACTTGCTTTCTGCCTTCATAACCCAGAAATTTCCTCTCTGCATTATTCTACTATGCACACAGGCCTACTCAAATTCAACATGGACAAGGTAGACACAAGATATAAACAACAGAAGGCAGTACTACTGGGTGTCACATTGGATGTTTGTAACTTCAAATTTCATTATAGTTAATTTTATATGATATGGTAGGTATTGATACATTTTTTTGGAAATGATTAAAAATAAGTATTATCACCTTCAGGGGAGAGCATGAACTGTATTCAGAAGAAATGCTCTCCTATTCACTTGTTCATCAAGAATATTCAAAACAGTCTATAGAGGTAAGCAAACCAAAGGCCAAGGTGACTCTTCTCACATCCACAGGAGTATGTATGTATATATAAGNGTGTGCGTCTTAAACTAATTTCACACCCCTCCCTTGTTTAAGAAGTGATTGCTCCCTCATTGTGATTTTTATGCCAGTTGTTTCCAAACATCTGTCTTTAACCAACTTTGGTCTTCGTTTTTCATAAGTCCACTTTTATTCCATTGAAACAACTCTCCTACATTCAGAGTCATTTCATGTCTCTTCCCCATATCTTAAGTGATTGGGGATGCTTCTGTGCAAAGTAAAGGAGTGGTCAGTCTCTGTTGGTATCCATAAAGTTTTCAAAAAGAAACTGCTGTATCAAGTCAAAAAAAAAAAAAAAACTGTGACCCACTAAGCTAACTTTGAAAGTCAGGAGACTCACCCCTATCATAGCACCCTTTAGCGTACTGCAGCTACACGGGGCAGACTGAGATCTCTACTTTCAGGGCCTCCTTCAAGTGACCCAATTATCACAGCATGAACTTCATCAGTGCGCTGTCATATCTCTAAGGTGCCCCGAAGTTAGTGGCTCAGTTGACAAGCTCCAACATAGAAGTTTAAACGACAGGCATAATGAAAGAACAAAGCAAATGTGGGAATGTCTTAGAAAATTGAGGGAGGACTAAGACAAAGATATGTGGATTTTTTTTTGTCTCACCCATCAATAAGCCTCATTTATGAAATCGTGCCCCAGAGCTATCCCTGGTACCTTTTCCTCACTCCCCCACGCCCCCTTTCTGTCTTCCTAGCACATTTACAATCTGATAACACACACAGTGCAGCAAGCCTGTCCAACTGGTTGGGGATGGTTTTCAGTAGATTTTCAGCTACTGGACTTGTCAAATTATAATATGCCCAGCACAGTGGAACTTCATGCTAAAATGTATTGTTCTCCTGACTTTGAAATGCTAATCTTCTTTCTGCCAATGTCAGAATTTCTAAATTAATGACCTCAATTTGCTGCAAAACTTTTCAAGAGGCGATGGAAATTAATTGTCACTGGTTAACAACTGACAATCAGCTACCACCTGTCTGGCAACAACAAATACTTTGAGTGCTCCGTGTTTGAGGGCAATTAATTGTTCAATGCAGGATGATAAACAAAAGTGACTAATGACAATGAGTTACACATCAGTACTGGTTGTTCATGGTAGAAAAGAAGGATTGCACATCACCACTTGGGATGGGATAACAAGGCAGGATAATAGGAGGTTATCATTTCCGAGCTTCCTTTAACTATTCTATCTACAGCCAGCTCTATCTTGTTCTGTTCCAGGAACACATCACCTTTCTCTTGACTCAAATAGTCAAGACTTATTCCATACATTAATTATATTAGCGTGGAAATACATCATAAGTGAGTGCCCTTGAGCCCTAAACGTTAGATACCTTTGTTCTAGCACACTTAATTCTAGTATGTGCTTGGAAACAACCAAAAATCATCATTTGAAAGAGATAGAAAATGTCTTTTATAAGTTAATACCTTGGGCTGGGAGTCACATGGCTTTTGAATCCATAACAACAATAAGAGTTTGAAAGACACTCTGAAAAAAATGGCATTACTTATTTTATTCTTCATTCCAGATATTGCTGGGTTTATTTGTGTTTTACAAATCCTTTCTGTATCACATGTACTCACTCATAAATAGTTTTTAAACATAAAGCACACACACACACACAAAAAACCAGCCTACAAATCACAATCCCAGAGAACTTAGACAACAATGAGGACACTAAGAAAGACTTACATAGATATAATCTACATGGGAAGTAGAAAGTAGAAAAAGACAAGATCTCCTGAGTAAATTGGGAGCATGGGGACCTTGAGGGAGGGTTGAAGCGGAGAGGCAGAGAGGGGAGCAAAGAAAAACGTAGAGCTCAATATAAATCAGTAAAAAAAAAAAGGGGAAAAACACAAGACTCCTCCCCCTAAAAAACAAACAGAAAAACAAACAAACAAATAGAAAAAAAAACAAATCCTTTCTGGTTCTTACCATAATATATTCTCTCTCTCTCTCTCTCTCTCTCTCTCTCTCTCTCTCTCTCTCTCTCTCTCTCTCTCTCTCCTGTGCTTAGCATGCTAGGGTTTCAGAATGAACACTCACTCTTATGGCCAGCACCTAGTGATCTTAAAAATGAAGGTGAATTTATAATCCACACAGCACTAATTTGCATATAAATTTAACACAAACTAAAGGCCAGTGGCCAATGTCCTCTTACTCTTCTCCCGTTTCTTACTGGCGTTTCTCTCTTTGGTATACAGCAGGCACTCAGTAAATGCAGATAACATAATCCATGACTTGAAAAGGTAAAAGCTGTGACATTATACAGAAAGAAACAAACCTATGGAAGTTATAGCAATATAGAGAAGGAAGAATGCTCCATTGAATAAAATAAAGAGCCTTTAACATACAGTATAAAACACAGAAGCTGGACTGCATCAGAGAAACGCAAATTTAGTTTCTTATTAAGCCCAATTCCTCCATGCCTTCTGCTTTAAGCTACTCCTCGGATTCCTGCCCTGACTCCCCCCAGTGATAGGTTATGGCTGGAGAGTATACGCAAATTAGCCCTTTCCTCTACACGCTCCTTTTGGTCACTGTTTTATTGCAACAACAGAAGGAGGACTAAAATCCATAATATCCAATGTAACACAATGTTAAAAGTCAAACGGTGTCAAGTCTGATACAGTGTTCTATGAGCACTCTTCTGCTCTCAGTAAGGTCTTGTTTCTGCATATTTCTACCTTATTGTTAAGTATAAAATATTTCCAAATAAAGCATGATAAAAATACTTTCCGAAGAACGCTCTAACCATGCATGCCTTAAAAGTGAAGGGCAGGTTTCTGTTCAAAGACTTCTGACTGCTGTGAAGGCTCAAGAACCCGGAGACCAACCCTGAGCACTGTGGCTGAGCTTTCCTTTCAATCTCCTGCCGTAGGAGCTGAGCCTTTCGTCCAATTCGCTTTACAATGCGGGCTGTACCACACACAACACTTAGCGGGCCCTTCATGTGGGCTTCATCTGAACCGAGGCAATCTCAAAGCACACTATGAAATGATTCCATTTGCCTTTTATGTCTGAAGAAGCCATTTCTTTTTATAAGAGAAACCATGCAAATTCTCCATATAATACATGAGAAGTTGTGTCTTCTGTCAGGGAAATGCCTGGAGAGGAATTTCAAATTTATCACCACACTTCAGCCCGGTCCTAAAGAAATACCAGGATCTGGGCCTATCTAGAATGCTCACAGGTACAGGTTTTATATATATATGGAACAAGAAGGCGGAAGGGAAACACACCACATGTACCAAATCATTTCTACAACAATCCACAGCCAACTTCTCACCATTCCCTGAACAACTAATTTGGACTTCTCAAATCTGAGAATAATTTTTGGGGTGGGGGAATCTTTATAGTGTAATAACCAGAGAGACAGAGGTTGGCACTGAATCCGTCTCCTCAGATGGGAGCACCACACGTGGACAGTGGCACTGACGGTCAGGGGAGACCTTTGCCCAGCTCCCATCTCTGTTCCCACGTCACTCAAGACCCCACCCGATCAATCAGATGGCTACAACCATAAGCACCCAAAGGCGTTCTTATAATAGCTCTTGTGTTTTATTTTTGAGTGTTGACCCATAGATAATAGGGGTCCATCTTATGTGTCCATATATCATACAAATAAAAAACCAAAAGATCCAAGAAAAATCAATTTTTTTCATTCTCAGTCAACAGCAGGAAGGCGAAGGCGATGATGTCACCAAGAGTGCAAAGAAGAGACTGGGTTATAAAATCTCTTTACAAATCTCAGCGAAAATAAATATGGTCTTACCCACCTGGGATCTTTCTGAATGCTGTCAATGGATGGGGATCTGGCCAAGGTGCCTTCGGGTGGGAGGGCAGGGCCCGATTTGCTGTACGGAGAATCAACGGAGGGACAGTACTGCAGCTGTCGGTAGGGGTCAGCGTAGTTGGAGGCTGGGCCAGCAGCGTAGCTGGCCCTCTGGAAGGTGGCTGCGGCGGCATTCTGTGGCCCGTGCTGGCTGCCTGTGCGCTGCAAGGGGACGGAGTCGACACCGGGGGAAGATGGGGCTAGGACAGGAAAGTAGGGACAAAGTAAAAAACTGAGGACCTGCTCGCAGAAACGGTTAACCAGGTCTAGGCAGGGGGGGAACGTTACACACATGAAAAAAAATAGGGTTCGAAAGAATAAAACAAAATTAATCTGTCACGGATCTCCCAACATAGTCAATGCTATCTAGTCAAATGACAATTCCCATGCTGTCTCAGAAGTACGTAGAAAATACGGGGAGAAAGCACACCTGCTGGGGGCTCATTGCTAACCAAAATCAAAGGGAAGGCACAAGCATCCTGCATGAGAACGTTGTTCAAAACTAAAACTTGGGCTGGGGTGTGGCTCTGGCAGAGTGCTTGGGTAGTGTGCAGAAGGCCCTGGGTTCGATCTCCAGCACAGGTTAAGATACATTTCAGAGGAAAATATTTTATAAGGAAGAACAGACAAATTAGTTCTGTGTTGTCCTGCTGGACAACATTCAGGATGTGTTCGGATTAACATGACACTAACTTTACTGGGTTTGCAGCATCCCGTGCTGGGCTGTTCTCCTTTCTGTAAAGTACATCCCTACATGTTCCACGGGCCTCTTCCTCAGTAAGGCTTTCACAAATGCACTTGGGAGACAACAGGCACGTGAGGGAAGGAACAAGTCATCCCAGGAGTGAGCGAGGCGGAGCCGGGCGTTGACGTGGCTTTTCCCCAACGTCTTTGCATCTCTTCAACATGTCTAGGATGCTCTGAGAAGAGTTTGCACAACTTACTGAGATCAGTTTCACTGTTTCCAAACTGATTCTCAATTTCTTTTCTTTCCTGGGGTATTTTTAGACAAGGCCAGGCCACTGCTTTCATCTGTCCCTCAAAAATATTCCCGTCTAAAGGCAAACTGACATATAAAATGGAAATAACGTCTTCCTTAGGCGTGGGATGTGAGTCGTTATTTATCGCCCTAGCAACAATCACGATGAGGACATTTGCTTTGTGACAGCTTGGATCAGTACAGATGCTGAGAGACAGCAAGTGTCTACATCCAGGCATCCATAACCCACGTGTTATCAGATTCCAGTTCCAGGTCACACAGCACAAGTTTGACCTTCCAGCAATTATTTTTTAGTGCATTTTATTTTATTTATTTATTTTTTTCTATAAGGGCCATATACCAAATGAAACACATCAAGGAAGCAATTGCTAAGAGCATGCAAGGAATTCTTTCTCAACAATAAATGCTGAAAGTAAACTGGAGGAGAGATTCCCCCGATGAGGTCTGGATTAAAACCTATGAGTTCAGTATCTTACTTCTCCAATTAATTAGCAATACTATTATCATTTGATGAACAAAAATTAGGAGAACATGCTAATAAATAGCATGATGAAAACTATTGAAATAGTTTTGAAAAATTATTCTAAGAAAAAGTGTCCATATTTCCTAAGAAGTAGCATTTTAAATTGTATTTGACTACAAGTGTGGCATACGCCCTTTCCCAACCACCATAAAGAAACAAATGTAATAAAAATTAAAATATCCTGAACAATATACTTTATACTATAACCAAAACAGCATAAAATCTAGATAAGAACACAGACAGAAATAAGATCTTCTTTTGCTCAAGAGTTGTGTTAAGCAGTCAGAAAATGAAGGGCAAAAGGAGAAACTTAGTACGCTGCCTCATTTTCACAGAAGCACATTCTTCATTCAGGAAACCAAACATCAGTGTTTATTCTTGCTGAAAATTGTTTACAGGCAAAAATAAATTCTCTTCTAAAAATGTATTTGCTGTTAATCCTACTGATTCACACAAGAAGGCACATGTAGTCGAGACCAAGAAATATTAAAAAAACCTACAGAGACCATTTTGGAGGCTGGGAAGAGATCAGCTGGTACAAGGCTAGCTGTGGAAATAGGAGAATCTGAGTTCAATTCCCAGGACCCACGAGACAAAACTGGACAAGGTGTGTGCTTGCCATCTCCAAAACTGGATCGAGCATCCCTGGGCCGCCCTGGCCAGCCGGTCTAGACTAATCTGTGAGCTTCAGACCTTGTCTCAAAGGAGACACAGAAGCTTGTTTTCCATGTTCGTCATGCACCTTCTCTCGTACCAAACACACATCTTCCTGCACACATAGCAACATGGGTATACACACTCATATATCACACACCTGCATCTTTAAAATGATGTTTATTAGCTAATGCTAGGATAGGTAAAAGGAAGGAAATGACTGTTTCCCAATCTGTCTAGGACACTAAAAGAAGAGGGGAGGGTTGGGGAAAGACACTGATAGCCGATCCAACTTGGGAAGGACGCAAGAAAACAGGCTCAAAATGAGCAACATGTGGAATTCTGTTAAGGCAAAACCTGGACATGTACGGGAGGAGAGATGGAGAGGTTAAGTTCCTATTGAGTTTAAAGCTTTGTTTAGATTGATTTCATTATGTTGTGTATATGAATGTTTTGCCTGCATGTATATCTGTGCACTACACATGTGCCTGGTTCCTGCATATATGAAAAGAGGCCATTGTGTCCCCTGGGACTGGAGATGCAGATGGTCGTAAGCTGCCATGTGAGTCTGAGGCAAGAGGAACAAGTGCTCTTAGACACCGAGTCAGCCCTCTAGGCCCCTATTTGGTTTTCACTGTGGCCTTTTCCAGGGAAGGACCATGCAGCTCATGGAGTGCTTGGTTTCGGGAGTCAGTTGTAGACTCCGGCTCTAGTCCTTGGTCTTGGACAAGATGAGACATTGGGAGTTATAAAAGGGATTATTGTTTGATTTCAGGCAGGAAAAATATCCAATATGTCACACAGAGAAAATGACACACACTACACAAAGGAATTATGGATAGGGCCAGGAGGAGGGTGGGGAAGGCCTTGCCCCGGGCAACAGAATGCTCCTGCTGTTCTGTGTGCTCCACTGTACCAACTCACATTCCCTCAGCAACCTGTTAGGAGGGAAGAATGCCAGTTGTGCCTTACAGAAGAGAAACAGAGACCCAAAGCAATGAAGTGCCCTAGCAGGTAGGTCTCTAAGAGGAAACGAATTTAAGCTCCGTTAGTTAGACTCCAGATGCCCATGATTGCTATCAACATGAGCTTCCAGACCAGGCTTAGAATCTCCAGGAGAAATATTTGTGAGTTACTGAGTAGAATGAGGAAATGTTAAATAACAATGAGGAGTTAGAATATCAACTAAAGGCAGATGAAGAGATGGGTTAGTCACAGGACTCAAACACCCAAAGATCACAGTGGAAAAATTACGATAGATTGTTGCTTAAACTAATTTATATTATTCTTGTAAACTTGAATTTACATAGATATATAGAAAAGATATATAAAGTATCCCAAAAAATCTGACTTTTATTTAACCTGCAGAAGACAAAAGGAATGCAAATTAGAATCTTAATTTTAAGGTATTTTGATTCTGTCTCATCCCTGATATAACCATGTGAAGATATGAGGAGGTGGGCTATAGAATTTAAGATGGATGATCTTAAATTTCCAGAAGTTATTTATTAATGTTTAAATCGCAATGACTTTGACTTTAATGAGTTGACCCTTCAAAAGTATCATCCGTTAACATGAGAGAGAGGGGGTGGATGGAGGGAGAGCAGGGCAGCTTGTATGTGCATGAGTTTACATGTACATCTGCATGCATGTTCACATACAGCTGGGGGAGGTGAACACGTCAGGCCTCAGGCCTGTGAAGGCCAGAGATGAACCTTTGATGTCTTTCTCCAGGATCAGGGCTCTCACTTCGCATCTTCTGACAGACAGGATCTCTCTCTCACGGGATACAGGGCTCATTGACTCAGCTAGCTGGACTGGTTACTGAGCATCTGGTATGCTACTGTCTCAGCCTTCCCAGTACTCAGAGAGCAAATTCATAACCCCACAGCTAGCTGTTTCTCCCCGATGGGATTCAGGGAGCAATCCTCATGCTGGACAGTAGGCAGTTCACCTGATGGTCTACCCTGTCAGACCCTGATAAATACTTAAATCTCTGTGCAGGTCCCAGGAAGAAAGATAGTTTTTGAGAATTTTGAGATAGAAAAATCACAATTCAAATAAATGCTGTGAAATTAATATACCCCAATCATGAAAATAAAGTGTCTACCAATACGAAGTGGGCAACAACAGCTCTTTAATGTAAAGAACAGATCCTGTGACCTTGGAGAACAAAATATGTGAGAAGCCATGACCCTCAACAATACAATAATGGAATTTTTCATATTTAGGGCAAATGTTTCCCCAAACTACAGCATGGGACCTTGGGATCACAGCTTGCTTTGGCTATCTGGTACACAGAAAATACCGCATGGATAAAAAACTGTAGCAGCATTAGGAAGATTGAAATTGACTGGGGATAGTGATGGGCATTTCTATTTTTAGTACTCAGAAGGCTGTGGAAGGAGGATTGTGTGTAGAGGCCCATGCTGATCTACACTTAGAAGATGATCTGGACTACAGGGCAAAACCCTGATTCAGAAAAACAACGCCACAGCTGCTGTTTTATGGGATTGGATGGGTGGCAGTCGGGAAGGTACTGCCAGACTGCGCTCAGTGCTGCCCTCTGATTTGCTCAGCTAGTTAGCTCCTGGTACACCTCACACCTACCAAGCCTGTTTGCTGCCATGGATAAACAACCACCATCCTGCTATTAGAAAGTCTCATATTTCATACACCTTCCCCTTAACTTCCGCCACTGAACATTTTCTCCCATCTCTTTCCAAGAGCTCCACTGATTGACCTTGCGGGTTACTCCAACCAACCGAATGTCCTCTTGGCAAACACTTGGAGGGGCTGGAGCTTCATCAGCTCTGCAAACTTGTCCCTCTCCTTCACGTCCTCTGCAAATAGCCCCTTCTCCTCCCATGAGCTCTTAGAACTCAATGAACTGTGCTGTTAGCCTCTCTGGGGAGATTTAACAAGCTGCCTCTTCTGCAGTGGACTTGACACCTCGACAGACACCTCTGCCGTTGCTGAAATTGTGTTTGTTTTCTGAAAGCTACACAAATAAAACCTTAGTT